GGTTCAGTTCCTGCCAGGGGCATACACCAAAAAAGAAAAAAAAAATCTCGCCCTGGTTGGTTTGGCTCAGCGGTTGAAGTGTCGGCCTGCGGACCAGAGAGTTCCGGGTTCGGTTCCCGCCAGGGGCATGTACCAAAGGAAAAAAAAAGTTCTCGGGTGAGGATTAAAAAAAAAAAAAAAAACTCTATCAATATATTCTCCAAAAGTCAAGAACTAAAAACAAAAATAACTGTAGTGCTATTATCACATTGAAAATAATAAGTAATTCCTTAATATCAATATCCATTTAATATTAAAAACTTCCCCATTGTCTCAAATTTCTTTTGCAGCTAAATTGTTTGAATGAAGCTCCAAACAAGGTTCACACATTGCATTTAGTTGACATATCTCTTAAATCTTTTTTAATTAATAGGATTCCCCCATTCCTCTTTCCTCCCCCCCCCCCCCCAAGCCTTGCAATTTTCTTGAAGAAGCTGGGTCACTGTCCTACAGAATCTTCCACATTCTGATTTTGCTGCTGTATGTGCATCACATCATTTAGAATATGCCTCTAGCCTTTTTTTTTTTATCCTCACCTGAGGACATTTTTCCATTTTTTGTTCAGATAGAATGGGAGGGAGAGGGAGAGAGAGAGAGAAACGTTGACGTGAAAGGGACACATCAAGTGGCTGCCACCCACACAACCAACCAGGGCCGGGGACAAACTGCAACCGAGGTACATGCCCTTAGCAGGAACTGAACCCAGGTCTCTGGACCACAGGCCGAGGCTCTAACCGCTGAGCCAAACCAGCCAGGGCCTCTGGCCTTTTTAAAAACAACATGTTTTTATTGATTTTTTTTAGAGAGAAAGAAAGGGAGAAAGAGCAAGAGACATCAATCGGCTGCTTCCTGCACGCTCCCCACTGGGGATTGGGTCCACAACCTAGGCATGTGCCTTGGCCAGGAATCAAACCTGCAACCTTTTGGAGTATGGGTTGACGCGCAACCACTGAGCCACACTAGCCGGGTGCCCCTAGTCTTTATATGTCCTGCAAATTGACCAGATTCAGGTTCTTTTTTTTTGTTATTGAATACATCATATATGGCATGATAGATACACTTTCAGGGTCATCTCAAATGATACTTCTTCCATGAAGCTCAAACTGCCTTTTCTCCCCATCTTCCAAAAGAAACATAAAATATCTGAACATTCTGTCTCCTTTCTTTGACTCCTAATGGCAACATCTACCAAAACGCAACTTACCGCCAGTAACTTTTCTATCACCATTTGACTAGAAACTCCTCAAACTCCAAGGACAGTTTTATCAGACTCTGAAACCATGAGAGGCTCTGGCACAGTTCCCTAAGTAGAGCAAACTTACATTTGATACTACTAGGACTGAATTCCAGTTTTGTTTTTCTCATTTTGGGGGGAAATGATTTCAAGCACATAAAAACCTGTTTGATTCCAAATGACCCCAAAAGAAGCTGGGGATTGAACCTGTAATCCAGGTATGTGTCTTTGACTGGGAATCAAACCCAAGACCCTTTGGTTGACAGGTTGATGCTCTAACCATTGAGTGGAACTGGCCAGGGCTGTATATACATTATTTAATTTAATCCTCACAATAACCCTATGAAGTTGGGTTTTCCCAGTCTGCCAAATGGAAAAAAAAGTGAAGCACAGAGGTTAAGCAATTTGCCCAAGGGCATATTACAAATAAATAACAAAGCTGAGATTGAGCGCAGAGCTCTTTGACTCTTACCTTATTGTCTAGGGTGTTACTTTCCTAATGCTTTTGTGGTTTTATAACTTTGAAGTAAGTGGTCTTTTATTAATTAAGTCAACAAATATCTGAGTCTTACTGAACTTCTGGTATTGTAGTAGGTAATAGGATAAAAATAAAATTTAGAACAAATTGACATAAAATTACAAATGCACTAACAGTTGAATATAATTAACACAATCATAAATGCTACTTATAAATCAGTTTGAACTTGGCTGCTGAAAAGATTTCTGGGAGATTTCTATAGTAAAAAAAAAAAAGACCATAAGAACAGCTACTTTGGTATGACAGATTTAAAGAAATTTTTTCTTTATTGATTTTGAGGAAGAGAGGAAGGAAGAGGGAGAGAGAGATTGAAACATCGATGAGAGAGAATATCAATTAGCTGCCTCCTGCATGCCTCCCACTGGGGATTGGGCCTACAACCTGGTCATGTGCCCTGACCAGGAATAAAACCGGTGACCTCTTGGTGCCTGGGTCGACGCTCAACCACTGAGCCATACCGGCCAGGCAATGTATGACAGATTTTTATTACTCATTCACCTTCCCTCTTGTTTTACTATGTTCCTGCAAAGGCTTAGGGGTTCTGACAGGTTTTCAATAACAATGTTTTGTATAACAATGTTACTGCATTTCTGCAAAGAATCAGAAATACTCCAAGATGAGATTTCTGGACTATGTAAAAATTAACACATATTTGTTATTTACAACACTAGGAAAAAAACATGCCTTAACAACATCACAGGTTATCTGAGAGAAATGCTGGACATTATACTCATACTTGAAGACAAGCTGGCAATTCATTGCCTTGCCCCATAATCCTCAGGGCTTCCCTTAGTAATAGAATTCAAAGGTGGCTCAAAGAGCCATGTGCACTTCAGTACCCATGTGGAAGAAAAAAGAAGGCCAGGATGCCCAGACTAAGGAATTCTAAGAGAATCTAGGTAATCTCTTTTTTAACCACCCTCAATCCCCATCATTGCACAATTAGGGCAACAGAAAGGTCATGCAGGGTGAAAATTAAGGCTTCTTACATAATCCAAATGTCAGGATCTGGACTGGAAGATCCTTTAATTGTCCAGCCAGAGCATAAGTATTTCTACACAGAGAAACTTCCATAGGCTGCTTCTGCTGCTTATTTCAGAGAGCTGCCTCGTGTTAGTCCATTGCTAGCAACATGTTTAACCAAGTGGTCTGAACTTCACATCAACTTTTCTTGTGTACAATAAGGCAATATAAAAGAGTCTAAATGATTAATAAATAAGCCAACCCAGGGCACTTTATTTTAAAAACACTTCTATAACTGTTGATTCATTTCCTACCCATTTCATTCTAAACAAATAAATATCAAGAAATAAATGTACTTCTTATTTAGAAGTGAGACAAATGAAAGAATTTATTACAAGTATTGCTTATTTTTATCTCCATCCAAAATTTCTAGAAGACTGTCCTAAGAACCTAGGTATCTTTATTGGAGAAGAGAAGGACCAGAAAATGAGGAAAATGACTATCATTTGACAACAGAGCAAATAGATGGTTTTATCAAGAAAGTTAATATTTTCACCTTTTTCTAATTTGTTAAAAGTGGTAATGAGTTTCTATCAGAGGCATCAAGGTAAACAAAAAAATACTGCTGCATTTCACATTCTATCACTTTCTGCTTTGACATTCATAATCTAGACTGATACACATTATTTTATAAATTAATTATGTTTGTATGAAGCATTGACATTAACACCAACATTTTAAATTTTAGTTCCTGCTACTTTACAGAACCTATCTTAATCTTTTAACTAAAACTGAAAACTTCATGTTATACATGGAATTGATTTTGTGGCAAAGGGTAAATAAATCTGGTGCCCTGGTTTAAAATGTCATAAAACATATACTATACCTTTTAATAGAGACACTTTAGCAAGCGGTTCATTTAGGTCTTGCTCATCCATTTGGGCGTCTACAGGGTGGAAAAAAGAGAATTAACAACAGTTGTTAACTCTATCGGCAAGCTGTTACTATCAAAATAAATAACTGAAATGTATACTCCTACTGTATTTGAAGAGTTGAATTTATAAAGCTATTGTATTTGGATAGTTTTATCAATATATCCAAGAGTCGAGAAAATTACATGGTAAATGAAAGCACTGCTTTTTGCTCAAACACAAACTGAAATTTCTACCCACATTAACCTGCATATCTAAACTACGTGGTAATAATAACATCTGCAAGTTAGTAAATATTAGGCTCACCTGTAGTGTCGTCACTACTTTTTTCCTTGCTTGGACTCAGAGTATCTGACAAATCAGATTCCTTTGCTTTTGCCTGGTTTTCTATCAAGAAAAAAATAAAAGTAGAACCTCATTATAATTAAATAGCTTCTATCAATAAAACTGCTCCAGGCTATTCGTACTCTACATCTACTGGTATGCAAAATACTTTAAAAAATTAACTGAGGTCACTGAATCTCTTACTTCTTCACCACTCTAGTCCAAAATGGAATGCTGGTTATTACACGTAGCTCATATTAAATAATAATGTGGATCATGTCTGCTGTGCAGAGGGCTGGGGCTTTTGTTCAAGGCTGTCCACTGGCCAACTGGAAACAGAAATGAAGCAAGCTTTGCTAAAGTATGTAGAGAATTGCAACAAATATAGCAAAATTCCCAGAAAAATGTGGACATTTTATGAAGATGATGAAAGAAAATGGCTCTATTATATAAAAACACTAGTTTGCCTTAGTAATATTTATACTCATAACAAAACTAAAATAAAATCACATTTATTATAAAAGAAACATTTAAAACAATAAAATTAAATTAACAGCCTTTTATATCTAAAGAAAATATAACTGTACCTGAACCACATTGAGAAAAAAATCTTAAAAAATGTTTTGTATTTGCAAGCAGTGTGCTGCCTGACCCAATGAAGACATCCTAGGTATAGTTTACAACAAAGTACTCTTAAAAAATTCTAACTGCAACTCCAACAATTAATTAAAGGTGACTGGCAGTTAATTAGCCCCTAGATTCTCATTTGAAATGGCACATCTGTGTATACTATGGTATGCATTATGATAGTATTTACAGAGACACTTATTTCTCTGACCATAATCCTTTAGCATCTCCCTATTCTCCACAAGGTCCCTGCATTATTTCCCACATGAGCTTTGTTTCAGTCAGGTCAGCCTCTTTAGAGGGCCAAAGCATCAGCTAATTATGACCTGCAATTCTTTTTTTTCTCAATATGGAATGCTTCATGAATTTGCATGTCATCCTTGCACAGGGGCCATGCTAATCTTCTCTGTATCGTTCCAATTTTAGTGTATGTGCTGCCAAAGCAAGCACCTGCAATTCTTTGCTTAAGTTGAATTTCCCTAAATTCAGTGACCATTCTCTCTACTTGGGCTATTTCTTCTGTAAGATACAGCTTAAGCCCCATCACCTCAAAGGAAGTCTTTGTATCTCCAGCATGTTGCTCCTTTTTATTGCATCTTCTCTGTCATATGTTTTTGAAATTAATCATGTTCTATTTCATATCATTCTGTATTTGTATATATATGTTATTTCCTTGATGAGATTATAAATTCATTAAACATGATTATTTTTTATAATGTTATACACTTGACTGTACTGTTTGTGGTGGTAAGTATCAAAACTTAAATGTACATATCCACTTCTAGTACTTTTCCTAAGGAAATAATAGACTATAAAAATGTTCACTGCAGAGAGTATTTTACTGAGCAAAATAAGCCAATCAGAGAAAGACAAATATCACACGATCTCATTCATTTGTGGAATGTAATGAACAATAATACAAGCTGATGAACAAAATAGACCCAGAGATATAGAAGTAGGGTACAGACTGACAAACTTCAGAAGAGGGGGTGGGGGGGAGGAAACAGATAAACCACAGAACTTGTATGCATGTATGCGTAGCCAATGTACATAGACAATAATGCTGGTGGGAGAGGGGGAGATTGGGAGGAGGGTGTCAATGGGGAAAAAAGGAGAAACATCTGTAACAAAAATAAATAAATAAAAATTGCAAAAAATAAAAATGTTCACTATTGTTCATTATGAAATGGAAAATATTCAAGATATACTGAGGACTATTAAGTAAAAATAAAGCTAAAGAACATGCCCTAGCCGGTTTGGCTCAGCGGTTAGAGCGTCGGCCTGCGGTCCTGAGAGACCCGGGTTTGGTTCCCGCTAAGGGCACGTACCTCGGTTGCAGTTTGTCCCCGGCCCTGGTCGGTTGTGCGGGTGGCAGCCACTCGATGTGTTCCTTTAACATCGATGTTTCTCTCTCTCTCTCTCTCTCTGTTCCTCTCTCTCCCTCCCACTCTACCTGAACAACAACAACAAAAAGAACAGTATATATAATATGACTCCATTTAGATTGAAAATAGCTATACATTTAGCTACAAATTTTCGTTGTATTTATTTAAATGTAGAAGAATCTACAACAGAGATACCAATAGTTACTTCTGGGAATAGGGACAGGGTGGACATTTACTTTCTAACTTCACATAGTAATAAATTATATGAAAAATTATAGTGAATACATACTGTTTTATAATAAACTAAATCAAGACATATTTTCCATTTTGAAAGCAATCAGAAATCTACCTAAAATCATTACTGTCAAAACATTTAATATAATATTAAAATATAACTAGTTATGGATAGTCCATTTAAGAACACTCCTAGAATGTGTGGCTTAACTTGTGAAATGGATAATGGATTACAAAAAGCCTTTGCTTCTTTTCTCACTGACATTTCTAGTCAAAGGTCAACTGCTGAAGGACAGAGAACTGAGATTAGAAGTAGTCACTGACCATGAAGGCCCATGGGCATCCAATCTGTTCTGGTGTATTCATAGTTTGCTATAATCAAACATTTCCGAATGTAGTGTCCTAGTTTTTATCACAAAGTTACAGTCTCAAATCAGGCAGGTTAGTACATCTAATCTTTATATATAGACAGAAAAGAAACCAGTCTGGGGAAACAAAAAAATGACTCCCTTCTGATTTTGATATTTTTGACAATTTTATGATCAGAATATTGAGGTAAAACCAAAAGGGACATATTTTCAAAAACATTCTTCTGGTTAGAAGGAACTTTTATTTTATATTTAGAGTATTAGCCAGGAAGGTAAAATTGCCTTAAAATCTGGACCAAACCTTTCAATAAGTCTTACTAAAATATATGCTCCATGAAGGCAGGGATTTTTGTCTGTTTCGTTAACTGTATAATCCCCCTCCCCTACCACTGCATAGAAAAGTACACAGTCCATAGCAGGTGCTTCAAAAAAAGAATAATCAGCCCTGGCCGGTTTGGCTCAGCGGTTAGAGGGTCGGGCTGCAGACCAAAGAGTCGTGGGTTTGGTTCCGGTCAAGGGCAAGTACCATGGTTGTGGTTCGGTCCCTGGTCCTGGTTGGGGTTGTGAGGGAGGCAACCAATCAATGTGTCTCTCTCACGCTGATGGTTCTCTCTCTCTCTCTCTCTCTCTCTCCCTCCCTCCCTCCCTCCCTCTCTCCTTCCCTCTCTCCCTACTCTACCTGAAGATAAAAATGGAAGAAAGTATCCTTGGGTAAAGATTTGAAAAAAAAAGGGGGGGATGATCGAAGGCACAAATCTACTTTAAGTAAAAAAGCAACAATTTAGTTAGTCAACTCATGGTCCACCATATTTATGTCCTGATATTACAGTTATTATATGAAAGCAAACCAAATCTATTTAAGAATGAAGCACAGGCCCTGGCAGCAGTTAGAGCATTGGCCTGCGGTCTGGAGAGACCTGGGTTCTGTTCCCGCTAAGGGGATGTACCTCGGTTGCAGTTTGTCCCCAGCCCTGGTTGGGTCGTGTGGGTGGCAGCCACCTGATGTGTCCCTTTCACGTCAATGTTTCTCTCTCTCTCTCCCTCCCACTCTATCTGAACAAAATATTGAAAAATGTCCTCGGGTGAGGAAAAAAAAAAAAAAAATGAAGCACAGGACACAACAAATGACTGGTAAAGTATTACTTCTTTTCAAAACCCCAATTCTTCAGCTATGAAGCAACACCCAACTTTTTAGTATAAAACGTCATTACTGGTTCATTTTATCTGTAGTATTTAATCATTAAGATACATGCTAATATTATTCAAAAGGAAATGAAAAAATAGCTACCAACATCAATACCAAAACTATTGCCAAACTGGGAAGTCTACAACAAAGTAACTATTTTCACTGTATCTTTGAGTAGACATAACATGGATGGGCAAAACAAACAAATGGGCCACAGACCACTTCGTATACCACTAGAACCAGTACTTGTAATTAGAGCAAGGTTAAGGATCAAGAAGGAAAATAAGAACTAACATTCATGTGGATACCAGAACGGTGCTTCCTCCTTTATAAGCAATATTTCATTAAATTTCCACAAAACCCTACAAGTTAAATATTGCCAATCCCATTTTACAAATGAGAGAACTGGGGTTTGAAGAGCTAAAGTAAGTTGCCTGATGGCATGTTGCTAGTGGTAGAGCTTGAAGTTGAATCCAGCTGTCTTACCTACTCATATTCTTACTACTTTCACCCCTTGTAAACATACAATAACTGTAAGTTGTATAAGGGCTTAAACAGAAAGCATATGCAACCAATGATTACATTTTACATTAGGTAAAGTATCTGAAGAAAATACTAAGATTGGCCTGGCTGGTGTGGCTCAGTGACTGAGCATCGACCCATGCAGCAAAGAGGTTGCAGGCCCATTCCCAGGAGGGGGTGTGCAGGAGGTAGCTGATCGATGTTTCTCTCTCACATTGATGTTTCTCTCTCTCTTTCCCTTCCTCTCTCTCTCAAATCAATAAAGAAAAACATTAAAAAAAATACTAAGATTGTACAGCTGATAATTGGCAATTTCTAGCAACTGATAATCTCAATGCAGAAAAGAAAATCCCCCCAAAACATTACCAATGAAATAAAAATAAGACAATTTGGCCAGATTCAAAAGAAAATACTTTATAGCCAGATATAAAATATTTAACATGTAACTTATTTCAGCCATCTGGTTTATTACAAGTCTTACCTCTGTATGTTTATTGTGATAAGCACTAGTAATATGTCGGCTGCTGACAGAAAAATCTCTGGGGTATATAAAACTTGTATCTGTATTATTATTCCTTTTTTAAATATGTTTTTATATAATTTTTAAGGAAAGATAGAAACATCGATATGAGAGAGAAACATCAATTGGTCACCTCCTGCATGCCCCCTACTGAGGATCAAGCCCACAACCTGGGCATGTGCCCTGACAGGGAATGGAACTGGGACCTCTCAGTCCATGGGATGACGCTCAATCCACTGAGCCACACTATATTATTATTATTATTATTATTCCTCACCCGAGGATATTTTTCCATTTATCTTCAGATAGAGTGGGAGAGGAAGAGAGAGAGAAAAACATCAATGTGAGAGAGACACATCAGTTGGTTGCCTCCTGTACAACCCCAACCAGGGCTGGAAACCTCAACTCAACCGAGGCACATGTCCTTGACCATAATTGAATCCGAGACTCTGTGGTCCACGGGCCAACACTCTAACCACTGAGCCAAACCAGCCAGGGCTGTATTATTCTTAAAGGGTGTAATCTATTCTCTTGCATGGACTTACTTGCTATAATTTATTTAATAAATGCCCTTATTATTAGACACCTACGTTTTTCTCTTTATGCTTTGAAAAACAACACAAAAACAGGTGCTGGCCAGGTAGCTCAGATGGTTAGAACATTGTCCTGATACACCAAGGTTGCGGGTTTGATACCCGGTCAGGGCACATATAAGAATCACCCAATGAATACATAAATAAGTGGAACAATAAATCAATGTTCCCCCCTCTCTCTTTCTCTCTCTCTCAAAAAACAGAAATCAATAATAATAATTTTTTTAAAACCCACAAAACAAACACAAAAAAGTAACACTAAAACAGATACCCTTGTACATTTGTTCAATTTTTATTAAGATAAAAACCCAGAAGTGGAATTGCTGGATCAAAAAGCATATTCTTTAAAACTTTCAATACATATTTTATAGCCAGGTTTCAAGAGGAAATCAGCAAGATTTCAGAAACCTTAAAAAAAATTATATCACATAATTTCAAGCAAATATAGTCTAAATCAGAATGCATTTAAAAGAAGCACGAATACTTTTCTTTAATTAAAGAAATGTCGATTTTTTCCACTTCAAAATGTTGGCTATTGAACCAACTAATCTGAATAGGTATTTAGGTGGTGAAGTAAAAGCTATTTTAAAGTCTGTTCTCATCTCACTTTAATAAGATGAAATAAATTGCCGTATGTACTAA